GTGTGTTGATGATTCAGTAGCTGTGATGGCAGAGGGCACGGGCAGTATTCTGTCACTGGTCACCATGGGAACAGTGGGGTGGTGTAAGGGCAAAGCTGGCTGTGACTGCATTTTATTGCCCCTCTATCACACACACACAATTTCACAGTGTGTATGTGAGTCTCCCAAAAGTAACAACGGCCAACTAGAGGACAGGGTGAAAGCAGTCACTAAAGAATGAGCGATAAACTCCATTGTGTGTGTTTGTTTGACTTTGGCTTGTGTGTTTGGCAGTGCTGTAGTGTTGTTCTGTATTCAGTGATTTCTATTGTAAATGCACCTCACACACACGGCATTGTTCCAATGTTTCAGCCTGAAGAAACTGCAGGTTCTTTCTTCATGTTTCCAGCTCACAAAGCAACGACAACCAGTATTCAAACATTGCACCAGGGACAAAACACTCGGTCCCTCTCACTGTTGGGGTTTATTTGGAGTTGAAGAATAGGTTTTTGGTAGATCCTTGTGTGCCTTTGCCTTGTGTTATGTAAGACATCCTTCAGTTCATGTACCGGTGAAGAGGGCAACTCCCATGTATTGTCTGGGATTGATTTTTCTGCCAGTTTGATATTTAAAGGAACCATATCATGAAAAAAGAGGATTTTCTAAGCTGCTAAACCTTTACTTATTGAAATAGTAAATTTATGTCTTAAAATATGATTATTCTTATCTCACAATTACAAACTTATTTCCCGTAATTGAAAAGTATTATGCTGTATCTCATAAATGCAACTGTATTTTCCATGACTGTGACTTTATATCTTGCATTATAACTTTGTATCTATAACTATATTTCTTGTAGCTACAACCTTAAATCTTACAATTTTGAATTTATATCTTACAATATGACTTTTTATATACTTTCAACTTCATTTCCGATAATATCAACTTTTTATATCTCATAAATGCGACTTTATTTCCCATAATTGTGAATTATTTTTTGCTTTATTTCTTACAATTTCAACTTAATTTTTTGTAACTACAACTTTAGAGCTTAGAATTTTGACTTTTATCAATTATCTCATAAATGCAAATTTACTAAGATATAATGTCCCATAATTATGACATTATATCTTACACTATTACTTTTAATCTCAAATTGCAACTTTATTTCTCACTTCAACCTTAAATCTTAGAATTGTGACTTTATATCTATACTTTTTTATATCTAATAAATAGAAATGTATTTTCTTTAATTGTAACTTTGTATTGTACACCATGTTTTTTTGTATTACATAATTGAAACCTTATTTTACATACATAAAATTTATATCTTATAAATGCAGCTTTATTTCCCCTATTTGTGACTTTATCTTACACTATGACTTCATTTCTAACAATTGTGTTCATCTCTCAGAACTATCTTAAATCTACCTTAACTTTATAACTCAAAATATGACTAGTTTTCCTTATTGTAAACTTTGTCACAATTACCTGTTTTATTTTGTACTTCAAAGCAGAGACTGGCTTCTATAGAAGGTCAAGTGAAATGATCATGTGAAACTAAATTATAACTGAAATTGTGTTTATGTAGCGCAGGATACTTTGACTAAGATTCTCACTCAGGGAGAAAAAAAGCTATAAAATCATAGAATACGGCTTCTATAAGTTTGTTTTGTCTATGATAACTGTGAATATTCTCCTCTGAAACGGTTCAGTATTTCCAAAAACCATCTGCAGCGCTTGATAACAGATATGTGCTTTATTTTAATGAGGAAAATTAAAGTGGCTGTTGATCATTTGTAGACTCAATAACCCCAGGAGTGTTATCAATTTGCTTCTCTGAAGTGAATTATTCCAACATGCCAAACAAACCATTGCTGTCAGCGTTCGTGTTTTCCCTCTTTCATGTTTCATTCTGCGTTCTCAGCCTCACCCTTTCCCACGATAAGTATTACGAAACCCTTTCCTTCTCCATCCAGTTGTCTTCCGTTCATACCAATGTAGGACCGGGTTCAGACCTCTGAGAAGAGCGTTGGTGTGGATAGATGTTTTTCTGTGTGTGGGGTTTTGCAGTAATTATGGTAATTTATGAAAACTCACTTTGGATAACAGCCACGCAGACTGCAACGTACGCCATCTGAGACACACACACACAGTGCCATGGGCTAAGATTGAAGGGTGCAGTGTAAACAGAGTCTGGACGAGCCCCTGCAGTCCCAGAACAGAGGCAGAGCTCCAGAACTCTATTAAACCATCTCAGCAAGACTCGAACAGCCTCCCCCATCACCTGCCGTACTCTCTCTTTTGTGTTATTGAAGGTGCTTAGAGATTTTGTTTGTGTTATTATATTGGATAAATTCATTTTGCCGAACAGTGAGAGTGTGACAGGTTCATTTACCATGTTTTAAATGGTGACATGTTGTTCACCTATTTGCTAAAATGGCCTGCTGTGTTGGAGAAAACTCTCAGGAAGGTGTATGTGTGTATATATATATATATATATGTGTGTGTGTGTGTGTGTGTGTGTGTGTGGGTTAGTACTTGTACCCCTGGGCATTTTATCCACTCTCGCATTGTATTAAGAATGTCACGGTTACACTGGAAGTAATAGCTTGGTTTAGTGTGTGAGTGGGGAGGGAACCAATACACACGGTGTGACAAATTTATCAGTTCCCCTGTTCCCCATCTTGGTTTATCACCACTGGCATAATTTAGCTATAAAGAACAGCCTGTATATATGCAATATAAGGCAAAGAGCCATCTAGACCCTCAGTGGCTTTGTAGCTCTGTAAAAATAGAAACGGTTTTTAATATTCCTAATCTAGAGCAGCTATTGAATGAATGATGCTGAGCAGGGATTAGAAGGAAAGCTCCTAGCTTTCTCTCTCTCTCTCTCTCTCTCTTTCTCTCTCTCTCTAGAGAGAGAGTGACTAAAATGTTTAATGCAATAATATGAGACAAAGAGCAAACAGAGTTAAAACTAGAGTTTACATTTGGTAAAGTACCGTAAATATGAGTGCTGCTTGTTCATGCAGAAGTTGCAGTTCTCAGCCTTTTCAAATTTTCATATTAAATTAATTTGCCATGATTCATTTTGTGATTTCAGAAATATCAAGAAATGCATGTTATTCAATAAAAAATAGTTTTTAAGGAAAATAACATTTAAAAAAAATCTTGTTGTTTTTTTTAACATTTAATTTTGTATATAGATAGTTCCCTGTAAGTCTTTTTTTAGCATTTAATTTTGTATATATATATACAGATCAATGTAAGTCCATTTTTGGCCATTTTTATCATTGAATAATGTGTTTTTGCATTTGATATTTCTCTCAACTTTTACTTAATTCATAGCAATGCATTCTGGGATTGCCTTCTCCTTTTCTGCATTAGAAACTAGTCAAAATAAGGTATCTTAGAAGGCAGCATACTTTTAAAACAGCCTTCTTGATGGGAGCACACCAATGCTGTCTTAAAGGGATAGTTCACCCCAAAATAAAATTTGTCATCATTTAATCACCCTCAGGTCAGTCAAAATAATTTGGAAAATTTTCTCTTTTTTTCCTGTATAATGAATATCAGTGGGGTCCAGTGTTGTTTTTGACCCCACAGGCTTCCATTCTCTGGACAAAACCAGCTTATTAATACCTTCTTTTTTGTTTTGAAGAAAGTTTGGAACAATATGACGGTGAGTAAATTATTTAAAATGCTGTCAAGGCATACAGCATACTAGAGTTTTTTCATTCAAGATTGATTCAGATTTTTTCTCGAGTTTCCAGAGTTGCAGTTTCCAGACAAACAATCTCCATAAAACTCACTTAATACTACCTTCTACAAATAACGGTTCCAAAGGGATGTTTTCACAGTGATGCCATAGAAGAACCATTTTTTCACCAATGTTCAATTAACTTTTCAGTGAACAGTTCTTAAAAGAACATTTTTTTTCTTAGTGTAAAGAACATTTTAATAATCTAAAGAACCTTTTTCCACTATAAAGAACCTTTAGTGCGATGGAAAGTTTCCATGGATGTTAAAGGTTCTTCATGGAACCACAGATGCCAATAAATAACCTTTATTTTTAAGAGTGTAGCTGTCTGTTTGCTTCATTGAGTTCTGAAGAGCAGAGAAGGACGGACAGGCGTTTAGTGCAGTTTTTAACAAGACATGGTCCCTGTTAGGACATACAGGCGATAATGTCCTACACACGCATACAACGATCCCTAGTGTGTAATCTTGTTGGCAGCTTGAGGGTATTTTCCCTTTGTGTGTGTGTGTGTGTGTGTGTGTGTGTGTGTGTGTGTGTGTGTGTGTGGTCTGTCTGGTGAAAGCAGCCATGGGATTTACGGCTAATCTGAACAGCAGATGGCAAAACATCAGATATTCTGTTTGAGCAGGAGAATGGATATTTTACAGCACATACACACACACTTTATCCCTTATCATAAACATTAACATATACACAACAGCATGAACTTTGCTGTATAAACACACACATACATTCTTGCGCAGCGTCACGTGACTCACGTGTGTGTATATGATTATACTCATATTAATCCAGTGACCTGGATTGAGTTTGACTGGAGGAAGTGAGGCTGACGTATCTGGAGCGCACACGCCATTCCACGGCTACTACCAGAGAAAGAGAGAGAGAGACAACAACCTCCCTCCCTTCTACTCGCTCTCTCACTCACACGCGCTTCTCCTGAGGAAGCAGTATGAAAGCCGACACAGTATGGGCTGAGGACCATAGTGAGGACACCCACCGCTGAAAGACACAGGGACAGAGGCAAAACGGACAGAAAGAGTGCAAGAAACATCAGCAAAGAAGGTGTGAACACATTCAAAAGAGGAACAAGGAGAGACCGGCTGGAAAATAGGTGGGAGGGAGCCGTGGAGACGGATCGAGAGAGAGGAACAGCCCGTCTGTCTGTGGCGGGACAGCAGACGCTGAACGCTCGCGGACCAGACACTCACACGCACACCATGGTGGTCCAGGCGGCCGTAACGCCCAGTAGGACCCGCAGGCTTCTCCTTAAGCTGCCGGTGGGGACGCTGAGGCGAAATAGTGAGGAGAGGGTAAGACGTGAGATGATCCATGAGTCTTGTGTGTTTTTGAATGCTGGCTCAAGGTTATCAAGGACTGTCAGAGACGGCACACAGACGGTGTGTTAGTTTGTCTGCATCCTTGCAGCTTAGGAGACAATGGAGATAATTAGCCGATTATGTGTTGCCATGATGGATGTGCACCTGTGTAAGTGCTTTACAGAGAATCTCAGTGAATTGTGTTGTTTTCATGCTTCATATGCCTCTTATGATGGTCAATGTCACAATTATGGCTTTCTGAGGTCTGTGACAGTTCGAATGACAGTGTTGCGTAATAGTGTTTGTTCACTGAAGATACTGGTATCAACTAAACATCACTGTGATTACCCCAAAACATGGAGCAACCTGCCCAGTTATGTGAATCACATTAGCAGACAAAATACGGTGAGCTTCATCTCACTGCACTGATTGTCATTTACTGGAACTGCCACAGGGTAAAGGTTCTGTGCATACAGATGTGTGTGTGTGTAACTGTGTACACATGGGTTTGCTTTCGTTCTGTATGTGGGTGTGTGCATCTCTATATATGTGTAAGTGTGTGTGGGTGGACACTTTGTGCCATCAAAAGAAGTAATCATTTAATAATCATTGAGATTCAGGTTCTTAAAAAAATCACAAATGCAAAATAGAATGATGATTTCAAGCCTGATGATTTTATCATATAAGTTTGTAAATTTAAATACATTTATATATACATTTTCTTTATTTTTACATTTTAAATATGTGTAATAAAATAAGTATATAAATATGTATAAATATATATGACGACATAGCCATTATATAGGCAGTTTTTATCATACTATTAAATTATTTATTATATCATTTATATATAAAAAGTAATCATAGTTATGAATATTATTGATATTATTTAATATTATATACATTTCATTTATGTATATATATACATTTTAAATGTGTAATAAAATATGTATATAAATATGTATAAATGTATATGACGACATATCATAGCCATTATATAGGCAGTTTTTATCATATTATTAAATTAATTTATATATATATATATATGTATATGTATATGTG